CTTCCTTCCTTCCTTCCTTCCTTCCTTCCTTCCTTCCTTCCTTCCTTCCTTCCTTCCTTCCTTCCTTCCTTCCAGCTTAAACAATCTTTATGTAATCCAGAATCTAAGTATGAATTTCTAAGTATCTATTATCACTTGATTACTTCCATTCTGTTCTTTAAAAGTTAAGTCTCTAACTAGTCAAAGAATTACCTTAAGGCCACAAACCTTGGTTTGACAAAGAATGTATAAAATCCTAGGTTCAATTAGTTACACGCTACAGCCCTGTAGCATGTAACTAATTGAACCTAGGATTTTATAATCCTAGGTCACTTTCTTCAAGATGAACTTTTCAACTTAAAAAAAGTTATAAACCCTTAATGAAATCCCCAAAGAACAAATGCAAATGGAAAATTGGGAAAAATTGGTGCAAGCTGTTAAAGAAAAAAATTCCTCTGCTGATTGCTAGTTCTAGTACAGACTAAAGCCAGGATGCACCATATAATTCCTTCTGCTGATGGACTGAGTATTTCAGTGTCCATTTTGGTGCCAGTTTAAATGAGTTTTGCCCTCCAACTGAACTATAAATTCTCTTCTTTTCTTCATGGGCCTCCAGTTTTAACTTCAGAAATTTCTAACTCCCAAACAGCTAAAAAATGGGAAGGCAGCTACTGGAGATCTGATCCCTGCACAATTAATAAAAGCTAACACAGAATATGGACTTCCTATGTTGGTCTCCCCCTTCACACAGATTGATCACTCTACACAAAAGCCCAAACACTAGTGCTATTCTCTTATGGTCTCAATCTTTAAGAAAGGTGATAAAACTGATCTTGCTAATTTCTTTCCAATTTTAAAGTGTTATTAGTAAACTATATGCTAAATATCTGAATGAGAAACTCACTGATTGGATAAAACATGAGCAAGTCTTGATTAGACCAAGTGGGCAGAACTATCAACAACAGATTAATGTATTTTAAATCATTTGGTGGAAAAAAACCTCATGCTTGAGGTCCTTTATATACTGCCTTTGTAGAGTTTGAGTCAATCTCTAGGGAGACATTGGGATATAAAGTACTAAATACATCTCTAGACTGTCATCTTATTAGAGTAATCATAATCTCCATGCATATTAAATTCTATACAAAATGCAATATCAGGAATAATAAACAGCACAATATGAATCATAAAATAAAATTATGAACAGTGAGAAATTCTTGTTTCGAAGAGAAAAAAGAAAAGAAACAAGAATAAAAGTCAGTAAAAGCATTATATATTTATTGTATGGAAGAGAAACTAGACATTAATTATAATAAAACAAAAGTGTTGTATTCACAAAATGATGTGCTAAATGTACTTTTTAAAAGTAGATTTTCTTAGTTAAGACTTTTGATTTTTATATTTAAAGTATGTTTCCTGTGTTAGCAATAAGAAGCACCATTATGTAGAAATAAGAAATGTATTGGGATTCAGATGCCCTTTGAGAGTGTAATTCAGTTTAAAATGGCCCAGGAGAAAGAAGTAAAAGGCCCATAACAAGTTGTGGACTTGCATTTTGAGGGGACATATAAAAAAGGGTAATAATATTGAAAGAAATGTCTATTCTTTAGTTTCAAAAATGTAGATCAGGGTTGACATCAAGACCAAGGCAGCAGATTAAAGTCTAGGTCTGGCTGATTACCTTATTGCTGACAGAGAGTCAGGAGCTTTTCCTGTCTATGTAATGTAATGTAATGTAATTAATTATTCATGAGTGTTGATGGACCTTTTCTATCTCCTATATAATCCTTGGACAACCTATTGTCGGGCCTCTTGGTCAGTTTGGCTGGGAGCCCAGGGATCACTGTTAGAGGGAATTTTAATATAGAAATGTTAATCTCCATTGCTTTGGTTCATGTTTAGTGGATCACTGTTTTTCTGCAACTTCAATCACTTAGAGTTTGTTTCTTTGTTTAATTTTAGGCCACAATTTTTGCTCTGAAGGACATAAGTGTTTAGAGAATTCTTTTTGCAGAAACATTGAAGAGAAGGCAGTTTGTAGCTGCCGAGATGGTTTCCGAGCACTTCGCGATGACAGTGTATACTGTGAAGGTAAATCCTTATAAAACATGGCCACGTCAGCAATAAAAATTAGCATGGAATATTGCTTGAAGTATATATTAATTCACAGCTTGTCAAAATGATGGGCTTTTTATATGCAGAAAATTTAATTTAAAGCTTATTAATCAACTGAAATAATTATATCTCAAATTAAGGTTTTATCTTCTTAAAAAGTTTGATTTGTGTCAAAGTAATAAGCTGACTGAGTTCGTGATTTATAAGTAATATATTAACACAGTAAGTGTAGATTTCTTTTCATTAATCAGATTTCAGATAAGATAAATTTATATATCAGGCCATTTTAATACATCTTCTAAGCTGTTATATCATTTTAATTAAGCTTTTAGGGTTGTCCTTAAAATCACAACATTAAACAATAGGAGTGAGCTCTCAATATTTTATAATATGCATACTTTTAAGAACAACATTATATTTGAAAGATCTTTTACAAATATTGCAACAATTATGAATGTGCTAACTCATTACATGGTTTGTTCATGTATGATATGCAGTGTACCTTGACAGGAAATAGAAATTGAACCATAGTTTTCTGGTTTTTAGTCATGGGTATTTTGCTTTAGTTCTGCTATATAATCTTTCAGAACTCTGACATTCAACTGAATTCCAATAATTATAGTTTAGATGATAGAACTAGTATTCATTTAATATTTGGCCTAGATTGTTTTAATAGCATATTAAGGGTAGGGAGGAAAACTTCTCCAAACTGGATTAATGTTCTCTCTCTTTCTCTGTTTGCATGAAGATGGGCTTACTGTAACTGGAGGAAATGTGACTGTCTTTTTTTAAAATTTATTTTTAAAAATTTTTGATTACAAAAAGAAGAAAAAAGTACATAAAAGTGGTTTAACAAAAAAGTGAAAAAATACAACAAAGAGAAAAAAGTGTTAATATATCATTATAACAGTAATCAATTTCAATTCTATAAATTCTTATATAATACACATATTCAAGTACATATATAATTTTAATAGGTTTATATGATTATCATGGTTTTTTTTTAACCTACTGTATTTTGTATAAATGAGTCCCATGCTTTCATTTTCCTTACAAAGTCTACGTTTATAGGCAATCCACTCAAAAATGGCAAGCGCAATCAGGTCTTCAGTCCATTGAATAAATGGGGCCATACATTTATCTTTCCAACACCGTAAGATCAGCCTTTTGGCCATAGTAAGGGCACAGAGATTCCATTTACGTTGTCCAGATGTCAAATTCCACGTACTAGTTATATAGTTCAAAAGAATATTATCCTCTGAAAATTTTAATTTTGTGGCACAATCATATTTATATAGTCCACTACTTTCTCTCAAAACTTGGAAAGTATAACACATTGTAGAAACATATGCTTTAAAGAGGCATTGTCCTTATTACATCTCCAGCAAAATGCTGTTTTTGACAACCCTTTTCTATACAGCTGTAGTGGAGTCCAATAAATTCTAAATATTTTTTGTTGTGTAAGTTGTAGTTCAAGGTCTATTGATACTCTTGCTATAGAACAGTGTTTCTCAATCTTGGCAACTTTAAGATGTGTGGACTTCAACTCCCAGCATTCCAAGCCAGCATGCTAGCTGGAGAATGCTGGGAGTTGAAGTCCACACATCTCAAGGTTTCCAAGGTTGAGAAACACTGCTATAGAAGTTAAGACACTCTCCCATTGTCTAGGCAATATAGAAACCTCTAATTATTTATTCCACTCATCCCTTAACATCTGCATATCAAATTGATTTAATAATAAATATCTATACCAACTAATAGTAGGTTTTTAGTTTTAAAGGATTTAGCAAATTGTAATATTTCAGAATGTGTTGTAATATTTCAATGTCTCAGAAACTGAAAATGGTGCTAGTCTAAACAATGTTGTTAACAAATGTTGTAGCTGTAAATATTGCCATTGGATTACATATGATAGATGATATTTATTTCTTAACACAGTACATTAAAAATTCATCTTCATCATCAGTTAGTCCTAAGTCATGTCCCTGCTTCCATCCAGTTTTTCCAAATCACCATCTTTCTCCCAATTTTTAGAGTTGGGTTTCCCCATAAAGTTAATTTGGCATGGGGAAAAGAGTCAAATCTTTCTTTATTAGACATTATGTTTCATAGCTTTCTAACTGATGAAATTGTTTCCAGAGATATTAGAGTTTTAGTATATTTTGATCCTAATAGTGTCCATCAGACCAAAGGTGTTATATATGTATATTCCAAAGTTGCCCAAATCAGAAAATTAATACCACTTGTTGGCTTCCAGTATTTAATACTTGACAACAGTGTTGGAAGAAAAAGTTATCTTACCAAGCCCGTTTCTGAGCCGGGAGTAAAGACACTGACGAATTGCATGAAGTTAGGAG